AACTCTATATCCAAAGTGTAGTCTGTGGTATTTTGGCTACATTGTTGTGCAAATTGCTTTGAGAGGCTTTGAGACTTGCAGCCCCCTTCATTTATCAAGATGGTACATTGAAATGTCTTTCAGATGGAGCAGCTGTTGAAGCTGGTGCAGGATGAGCAGAACATTTACAATATTGTTTTTCACGAACTGATCAGACAAGTCAGCGTGAGCTGCTCAGAGAGAGGACAACTGCTTTCTAAACTCAGGTTTGCAGCTAATGCATTAGCGATTAGATTTAATTATTTTTTGTTACTCCAATTTTATTCAATGAGATTTCTGGTATTTGTATGTCCAGACAGCGCTACCAGTCCCTGATGGAGCGAATCCCACAGTGTCTGAAGGCTCTGCACACCGAGGTGGTGGCACAGCGAGCTCTTGATCGCCAGCTTACTGAAGAGATACAACACATCAAGATATCAATGCAGGAACTCAGTGTGTATGTATCTCAGGTGTAAGGCTGGTGGGTTGTGACAAGTGAAATGAGCATGTTTTTCTGCTCTTGATAGTTGAAAAGGGAGGCGAGAAATGAACATTTTTGTGTGTGGAAGCTGTGTGTGTTATCTCATGATGTGCAAATCTTTGTGATTGTGGCCGTTGTTCTCATCACAGGGAGCTGTCCAAAATCAGAGAGCATGATGTGCTTGTGTCCCAGCAAGCAGAGTTTGCTTACAGGCAGCTGGCTGGAGCCCTGGATCAGACCAACACCAGCACAGAGTCAGTCCAAACTTTACAACTTTTAGAGTATTTCAAGTCACATTTTCAAGTTCCATCACAGATGTGGTCACTTGTATGGCATAGATTTAAGGCTCTGCTGTGAATATGATAAGGTCCATGTGCTCTTCACAGCATGGTCCAGGGCTACTCTGAGCTTTACGAGCTGCAGAGAGGTCGCCTTGAAGCGCAGCTGCTTCGGATGACTGAGGAGAGAGACTGCTGGAGCCAGTTCACCGTCTGCCTCGCCCTAAAGGTGTGTGAGCCATGAAGCTCTAGTTTTGTTTGTGGCAGATTCACCTTGTTTGATGACTTTTGTTTGCCTGCTTTGTTAGAACTCCAGCTTACAAATTCAAATATTAAAGCAGATAGTTTGACAAAGATTTTGCTATTACCTGCTCCGGCAAGACTTCACCGGTCATGTTATTGCTTTGGATAATGTTCAAACTTTAAATGTAGGCTGTATTTAATTAATTTGAACTGTGAGATGATTAGCTTTTAAAACCAGATTGAATCTAAACAAGTTCAGCGCAATTCTCTTTAATTATCAGGTGATTAGTGTAAAGAAGCTACAGTTGGTCAGTCAAATGCACCTCAGCGAGCAGAGATGCACCAAGACAGCAAAGCACTGCAGCATCTTTCTGACTTCAGAGGTAACAATAAAGTTCCCATTTCTCACCACTTCATGTTCTGCTCTTCTGCACTAAATTCTACCAAGTACTGTGCGGAAATATCTGTGTTGGTTTAATTACTCTCTGGTGATGACTCTAACCATCCTGCTGTAGGACACAAAGGACCTGAATATCATTGTGGAGCTTTGTGACTATTGGAAAGAGCAGCTGACTGCGTTTGTGTCTCAGCTGAAGACGACTGAGCATGCTCAGCGTGAACAGATGACTTCCATTCAGCAAGGCATCAACAAGTGGCTCACTTTCTGCGACACACAGAATCAGTATGAACAAGAAAAATTGTCAGATGTTTTTTTATTGAAGTATGTGGTGATATAAAGCACCTTCAAATAAGAATACTTTCAATTAAAAGTGAAATGTATTAGTAAAATTAACATAATATTAGTCCTTACTACATCAAATTAGTAATGCATGTTTAAGTAAATGCAAGTAAGAATAGTATTTGACATTAGTCTGATCAGTCATCTTCTATTTTACAACCACTAGAGTACCCTTAAGACTCTTAACTCTACAGTCCATTCAAGTTTTATCCATTACAGTTGATGGCTATTGCTATTACCATATACTTAGTAATTCTCCTGTAAACGTAAATATCCAGTATTCCTTTTATAATATTTTCAATGTCAACATGATAAAGATACTCTCTCTATCTTTCTCTTCTTAGGAGTCCAAACACAAAATATGATGACTCTTCCTTGGAGAAGATTCATGCTGATGTAAAGGAGTGGTCAAATGTAGGTCAAGGCGGTGTGTCTTATTCTTCAGAGTGATCATTAGTGATATCATTTCTATTTTTGTCTCCATTTTTAATAATAACTATCATCATTTGCTCCATCCTCTCTGCTATCATCTTCTCTGTGTTTCTGATTGATTTAAATCACCTCCCATCTTCAGCTCTGGTAGTTTTCACCACTTGTCAGAACTGATATTTGATCTATCTGCTGACTGTCTGCTGTATCTCACCTCTGTCACTGCTTCCACCCCATCTCTGTCCACCGCTGACACTCATCATTTGTCTTTGTCATCTGTTTGAAAAGTAATCTGCACAGCTCTTCATAGAGGGGTGAAGACATGTCTACAGACCAGTGTAATCTTAAATTCTTTCTTAGCATGTTTGTTCACTTTTGTATTTTATAAGTTAAAGCCGTTTTTGTTATCCTTTGTGTAATTTGTATCACAAAGACACAATAAAAGTCGAACAGTAAGGCTTGTAGAGGGTTTCTTTTAGCATAAAGTAAATTATATTTGTTGTTCTTTTTCTTGCAGATGTCGACCCTCTTCAGTGAATGCTACCAAGGTGAGACGCTACTTTCTGGACAGCAGACGCTGACTGAGCTCACTCGAGCCCAAGAGCGATTGCTAAACATGAGCCTTGAGCTGTTCAGAAGACACCCTGCTCCTGACGGTGAGGCTTCTGAAGGGCAGAAGGACCTGAGAGAGCTTGACAAGGACTTATCTGAGTTCCTCAAACAGCTGGACACACACGTCACTGGAGAGACCGGTGAGGGACAATAAGACCTGAACTGATTCAAAGTTTTGTGTTTTTTTTCTTATTGTCTTCATAGATCTAGTGGGAGTTGAAACTGATTCCAGGCATGTTGTTTCAGGGATCTACGCACAGATCAGGTCACTTTTTGGCTCGATGGAGTCAGAGGTTTCAAAGCTCAGTGCAGTGATTGGCCGGCCAGAAATGATATCCACTTCTGATTGGTTGCGGCTTGGGAAGGCTCTGCACAACTGGCAGACTCTGGCTGAAGACATCTCAAAGAATTTCAGCACACAAGCAGAGGTTGAAAATGACAAAAGTAAACCTAACATATAGTAAGTTTTTAGTTTACTGGTATTATTTAAGCTTAAATTAAGTCAAAAATTGTATTTGTCTTTAAGGTTTAAACTCTGTGTGCTTATCTATGTTGAAGAAATTAGACAGAACATTAGAAAGTTGGTATAATATCTTTCTATGTCTCTCTCTCTCTCTCTCTCCTTTCTAGGAAAGTGAAATTGAGTTTACATGTGATATAACAGTAAAAACTAAGTTTTCTGTGTTTCTTATTTATGTGTTTTTGTTTAAACAGCCAAGAGACAAAAAGTTTGTCAGAAAAAACACAGAAGTTTATTACCGACCTGTCCAGTTTTGTTGTTAGTGAGAACCAGAGACTTAGCGAAGAGGTGAGTACCAACCAGGATCAAAAAGAAAATATTAGTTCATCAGATTTTTTTCAACAGACGTATCAGGACTAGGACTGTGGTAGTTCAATGTTGCAGAGACATGTCAGAAAATTTGAGCTGATATTTTGCCTTTTTTTAATGTCATATGCTGTCTTAAGTTTAATGTTTCTTTCCCTCTCAGGTCACCTCCATTCACATGGCCCAGACCCGCTGGATGTTAAACCTTTTACTTGTCATGGTACCAGACCACAGTGAGGACCAGAACCAAGTACAGGATCAGCACAACAGGATGAACGTCTCACTACAGACACTGGATGACGATGCAAAGGTGCTAGCTGAGAGACTGGGTCATTTTTCCAAATACATCACAAGGTACCCCAGTTTTTTTTTATTTCTTTTTTATTAAAACTGAATTATAAAATTAATCAGGGGAAGAGATAAGCAGAGAGAGATCTGCATGTGTACTCAGGAAATGTTTGCTTTTGACTTCAGCTCTTGCAAGCTGATTTTGGAGAAGCAGATTCAGCAGAACCCACGTGACATGGAGATTGAAAATGAGATAACTGAATGCGGAAAGCTAGAGGTAGTTAAAAAAAAATCAGTGCTGCATACTTTTATATTTCATTGCGTGACACAGTGTTATTTTTAATCTATCCTAGAGATACCAAACACTTCAAAATAAATGCTGTTTTGTTCTTTCACAGAGGGAGTGCGCTGATTGGGTGGAAACTTCAAAAATCCTACTTTTAGGAGTGAAGGATGGTCCTGTAGAGCTGTCTGTCAAACAGGCCGATCCTGCCTCCACCAGTGATGTTCTTGTCCCCACGGTAGATGAATTAAAGATCGTGGTAAGGAGTTAAAAATATGATCAATAAAAATAACCCAGCTTGTTTTAAGCTCTTGACCATTTAATAAATTATTAAGTCAGTTAGCCGTTAAGATTCGAGTAACAACAAACTTAGTTTAAGACACTGAATGTCTCCAGATACTGAGAGGAATAAAAGTGGATTTTACAAGATCTAGAATCAATGTTGCCATGGAAATTGAGATAATAGTGATTGTGTGTCTATGCTTGTGCCTGCAGGTTAACAGAGAGGTTTCATCAGAGCCTACAACAAAACAGGAGCCTGTAGCAGAACAAGCAAGTTTTTGACATTTAGGATTAACCCCCTGGTTTCAGCAGCTCAGACCTGGAAACCTTCAAAATGAGTTTGTGCACATGAGATTAACTGTTAGCTGTGGTAGTGGAATCAAAAAAAGGTCTTTAACCGCTCCAATTCCAAATTTTCAGGTAACATTTATTAAGTTAGAATCCCATTTTTAGCTACTTGAACAAACTTAAACATGTTAAAAAATGTCCTGGAAATCATTAAAAGTAGCTTAGGTTGATGAGAGATAAAAGTCCCATTCTCAGAACAGTCCGTCACATCATTGGCGAGTCTGTCCTTGGATTCTGCTCCACCATTCCTCCATCTTCCTCCACAGCTGGAGGTGGAGGAGGAGGAGGGGGTGGTGGTAGGGATGAGAGGTCAGGGGTCACATTGAGGAGATCAGGGGGGAGTGGAAGGACCAGGGCAGGATGGAGGAGACGGAGGGAAGCCCTGAAGCCCTCCCAGGCATCCCTGTCCCCTTCTGCTGCTTTGACCTGGCGGTAAGAGGGATAGCTGCTAAAAAATGCACTTTTTCACCTGCATATCAACTTTTTTTTAAAGAAACAAAGCAATTTCAAGACAACTGGGTGAGTGTTTTTAACTGGTTTTGTAAGAGGACCTTAACTCACTTTTTTTAACCATTTTCAATTGTGTTTCCAACCAAAGAATAACTTTATCACACTATCTGAACTATTGTAATCTTTCAGCCATATTTGACATGATAAATCGAAAAACAATAAATATTTAAATCTTTCCAATCATTCCTCTGTAAAGCTATGAATATTAGATAATTAATGCTGGTATAGTCACTCACTCTGGCCTGTTGATGTCTTTTAGCTTCAGCCTCAGCAGCCAGACTTTGCTGTAACTCCACTGGAAAACTGAGTTCATCTCTGACAGAAAATCAAACACAGTCCAGCTCAGAAAACAGATCAAGGTATGACACAAATTTCTACATGTTTTTCTCTTTACTTGAGCGGAGTAAACCTCCTTTGTGCCTTGAAAATTTTCCAAAACCACTTCTGCAAGTCATGCACTTGCTTTTTCATCTGTCCTTCTTCAATTGTATCATTTCCTAAAAAACTTGGAGGTATAAGAGGAACATTTAACTTCAGCCTTACTTACATGTCTGCTCTCTCCACCCTGATGCCCCAGCGGCATGCTACAGAGTCAACAGCAGCTTGTATCTGCTCTCCTGTCATCCTCCTGTGCAGCAGGACATGGCTGAGTGTGTGCTGGGAAAGGACGTCTCTGACCACCGCCTGGACGAGAGTCTGCAGCACCGTGGTCAGACTGGACAGAGCTGAGCTGCACAGAGTCACATTTTCTATTTGATAATAACACACTGCACTCAGCTCTGGCCTTAGTAGGTCCTTTGTCACCACCTGGGTGCAAAAAAGTCAGTGATAGGACAAACACAATCCAAGTTTTGTCATTGTGTGATTAAAAAGTTGGAAAAACTCTATGCTACGAGGATAAAGTGTGTGCGCTTAAACTGATACAGTAAAGTGAGGATCATTTTATACTGTTTTAGGACAGAAAACGCCACAAATTCTAATCAGCTAGTTCAGTTTGTTTTTACAATATTGCTCTGACCGTATGAAGAGGAACCTTTAGCATTTTCAACCGAATGTCGACCTTGTGGCATACATCCAAAAATGGGAGGAAGAAGAGAAGGCCTGTAGAAGATAGACAGATGATTTAGCTAAAGTAAAAAGGATTTTCAACATTCTTGAAGATAGCTACAGTTTCAGCATGACATTTGACAGATGAGCTTGAAGTTTATGGTGATGAGCAACAACCTGGTCCTCTGGGTTTGCCCCGCAGTAGATGACCCAGTCTGAAGATAACAGCCCTCTCATGTTCCCTCACTACCTGTCAATCAAAATCACAAATAAGTCAGCACATAGAAATGGAGGATGATGATGATAGCTGAGTCCAACTTGTATGCAAAAAAGTAAATCTGAGGATAAACAAGGATTTCTGTTCTGTTAGTTGTGTTGACTGCATATCAGGTTAAATGGAACAGTCATTATTAGGTGAAAAATGCTGACTGAGATGGAACAGGTCGAGATATCCCTGTTGACTGTATCTAATAATTTCAGCTCTGTTGACTTCAGTCCTTACTTTGACACAGAACCAGATGGCAAAAGGAAGAAAGATGAGAACCAGAGCCAAGACAAAGACCATCAGCAGCCACTCAAACACTCCCAGGTTCTTACGCTTCAGACCTGCAGAGACAACATACCCAAGCTGAATACAACCATGCATAATTACATCTTTCTTCAGCTCAGCCTTCCTGCATGAAAATGATGAACTGGGAGAGATTAACAATTGAATGTAAGTGGTATAAAACTTCTGTCCATGTTCCCCCTGTAGCGTTTATTACATCCCAGACTTTCTTTCACGCTTCTACTCACTATCCTCCTCAGCTGCCTCCAGGAGCCCCAAGTTCTCCTCCTTGACCTCCTCTTCTCTCACACTGTCAATGTCCACCACAGTGGATTTCACTTTTAGCTCAGTCTCCCGCTCCACTCCCACAGTATTGTTCTCCAGCTTCTCCTTCTGCGACCTCTCTTTCTTCACTGATGATATCTTAGGGTTCTTGCTGTCCTTTGATGGCCGTTGTCTGTGACTTCTTGGTGGCTCTGAAGCTCCTCTGTCCCTCTCTTTCTTCAGCGTCACAGTGGGTCTTGGTGGGAGACTGGGACGGGCCTTGGAGGAGTTCTCCATGCTGGCTTGAAGCTCCACAATGCTGCGTAGAAGCTTTTAGTTGATAGTATTTAAATTTTAGAGCTTTAAATGGTTTTTTGTTGCGCCTTGTGGCTGGAGATATGTAACGGTAATCTGTGCTGCCGCCAAATTAAGCTGAAAATAAATGAGGTACACTGTGAGACTGTGGGAGTGGGAAAGAAGTGGGAGTGTCACTGATCATCCTCTCTTTCATGTGAGGTCAGTGAGCTTATGTGGAAAATAACAAGATGCAAATGCAATCAAGCCATAACTTCATATTTAAAATACATGTTTACTTGTGATACACGTGTCAAAAAAAAGACTCAATTATCCATTATCTTGGTAAATTTTTGTTTTGATCGTGACTTTTGCAAAACCGATGAAAGTGGCACAGATTGTGGTCCAGTAATCAGAGTTAAGAGCAAGTAATTACGCTGGAACTTGAGGAGTCAAAGTGCATCCTTAGTGGGAATGTGCTGACTCAGAGCACCTCTTGTCAAAGAGCTGACTAAGGTTTAATTTGCTTTTACAGGGAAGGACACACACTCTCCTCCCTGTTTGCCCCTTAATTAAACCAATCATTTATTCTTTGGCCCACTTCTTCTCTACTTATAGAAGCCCTTAATATAATCATGAGAGAAAACCAAAGCAAATGGGCCATTAAGCTCAGGTTAAATTGGTGCTTTGATGAAGGTCCCCTAGATGTACGTTTTATTGGAACCATTGCAGCGCCTTCCAAAAAGTCAGCTGAAATCTAAAACTTAAATTCATTGTTTGGGTTGGCTGTGATGGTTAAAGATGGTCATCGTGGATTCCTTTGTGGTTTGTAGATATTATAATTCTGCTCTGTTTTTCTGAATTAAAGAGCTTATTATCAAAAATTACTTAATAACTTTTTCATAAATAAGAATTTTCTTTCCTGTTTTTCTGAATAAATGAGACAATACTCTTGATTGTCCATAAAATTTTCCTCGTGAGTAAATGCACACATTTTAAATATTTCACATATGTCATTGTGAAATAAACGATGCTTATTTCTTAACTCTGAAAAAACAAACAAACAGAATTGCTCAAACGGCTTACAGGTGTTGTGGCGTAGAATGCACCCCCTGTGTCCCATCCCCTCATGAGCTTCTTAAAGTAGAAGAAAATGATCTCATATTTAAAAGAACACGAGTATTGGATCATAACATCATGTCAAATGGAGCAATAAACTTTCTTTCTGTTTTTATGTCTCTCAAAAATGCACACATAGAGGTGCACTTGGGTATATTTAACTGTACAGTAAACTGTCATGGCAGAGAACATTATATTTTTGAGACAGCAAGTATTCCGAATCAGAGGGCCATTGTTTTGGGCTTGTCTGAATAGCCTGGATGAAATAATTAAAGGCAAACCCTTTTGAATCCGTCCAGTGGTAAAGAAAACTTGGATTATTTCGCCTCGTTATATGTACTTTTAACTGCGCAGCCGTCAGGGGATGCATTCTACGGCAGGGGTGCATTCTACGGCAGAACACCTGTCTAAACTGCCATCGTGACAGCAGGAGTTACCCAGCGTAACTAACACCACTTGACGGCGGTTCATTTTAATTTTGCAGGGCCGCTTTAAAAAAGTTCTTGCGTTCATTTTATTTTTTAAGTTATTTAAGATATTTTCGAGAATCTGAGTCGTCTGTACACAAAATTGTGCACTGCGCTTTTTCGTGTTTTTCCGACCACGTTGCTAGTGTCAGCCGTTACCGTGTAGTGTGGGAGTACTGCTAGCAACAGGTGTGGCTGTTGAGATAACGACCGGTCAGAGTACCTTTCAGGATACTGCAAAGATACTGAAACTTTGAGGTAAGTCTGGTTTGGTAAAATCAAACTTGCTAAACTGGAACATGAAAAAGTACATGAAAATTGCTGAAGGACGACTAACCGTACCGACTCCCGAACTCAACAAGCAACGTTCCTCTGAGGTAGTCACACGGTCCAAGCTAACACTTTTTAAACTCTGTGCGTTTATCACATAAGTTTTGCTGATTTGTCCCAATTTTTTGCACTACAGTTGAATTTGAAAGGGGTTTATTGAACCTGTACATCTAAATATGTGAAATATAATTGTGTAACAGTCATGAGGAGTAGGGATGGTGTTTATTTTTTATTCTTAACCGCAAATATTTTATTTTTATTTGATTTAAAGATAAATTGAAATGCAGTTAAATCATGTGGTTTCTATATAAAGAGCTCTTAAAGCACTGTAGCTTCATGTAAGTTTGTTTTTGTAGACCTGTTAACATTTTATGCCTGTATTTAGGGTCCATTTACAGTAGGGCCGGGTGATATGGGAGAAAGTTTATCATGATGTGTTTTTTTTCATATCTGCTGATATTGATGAATATCACAATATAAAGAAAAAAAAAAAAACTTGTCTATCCTAAATGTTCCCTGTTACTCATAAATGAAAGTTAACTGTGCTTATTGGTAGCATGCATAGACTGTATATAGAATGGATAGAGTCTGCCTCCTCGCTGGGTGAAGCCACTTTGAGAACAGCACCCTCTGGTGACGGGCTGCAGAATAGATCATAAATCCCACTTCAGCCAGCAAAGCTTATGGGGCTGTGGACAAGCTTTATAAATTTATTACACAGAACATAACCCCCCTACTTGCGATGTTGACTTGTCTTTATTGTAAGACTGATTTGTGCTCAAGTCCTCTTTTTTCTGTGAAGCTCCGTTTTTAAAAGTTATTAGGGGGTTCTAGTTTCTTTGATTGACACCTGATACAGCCTATTAGCGTTCAGGGATTGCGTAGCTCACTCGGGGGATACGCTGTTTGAACCGAGTGTCATCACAGCGACTCTCCCGCCGAATGCGCACAACGCTACTGCGCAATACTGGTTTCTGGAAATGAAGAAAAATCCCGGAAATACTGAGAGCTTTTTGGCTTCAAATCCGTATACAGGCGGGAGGCGGAACCAAGTTGTCCATAGTATATACAGTCTATGGTCATAAGGCGTTGCGCTAGAGAAAGCTGGCTGAATAGTTGGCTGTTTCGGCTGCACAGGCGCCTAATTTACAGTGTGTATTTGTTTGTGCTGCTGTGGTCTACAGATGGCAGCGGGCAAAGTGAACCAGGAAGAAGTTTTAGCAAGGCTAAAGATCGATGTTCGTTCCTTGCTCATTTCATCAAAAGTAGGCCTGGAACCTGAGCAGCTCAGACGGGACTATAAAGCGATGATGGGACATCCAATGCCCCTGAAAGTCCTTGGCTTTAGAAATGTCCTGGATATGGTGAAGGAGATGCCTGATGTGGTGACAGTTAACTTCAGGCCAGATGGCACCTCATTTCTGAGAGGTAAAGCATTTTCTTTCTAGTTGACACCCTTTTTGGTCTTAAATGCTACTATTTAGTATTTCAGAAAAAACTGTAATTGCAACCTCCTGCCTATCAAACATTTGAAATTCGTTATCTTAATGCAATCTCTTTTATATGCTTACATTGCAGCTGTGGGTGTTGAGTCCACCAAAAATATTGAGGCGCTTGTTGCCAAGCAGCGCACGCCCCAGACTAACAAAAATGTTTCAAGAAGAGGTGTCAGACACTTCTTCCCTAGCCACTGTCACCCAACCCAATTTGTGGTCCTTCCCAGAAGAGGACGACCCCCTCCTGCTCTCCATGCTCAGCTGAGGGGACAGCTCCGCATACTGTTAACCGAGGTATGAGTGAAGGGTGTTAATTCAAAGCGTGGAAAAAGTGTTGAACTTTTTTTTGTTTTCAACTGAGTCTTATTTGTGTGAAAGTTGTGTTAATTGATGGTAGGTAACTATGGTAAGTAATTGTTATCTGCTGTAGTTTTGAATTACCATAAATCCTCAAAGACCAGGGTTCAATCTGTGGCCTGGCCCATTCAACTGACCAGGCTCAAGAGCTTTATAAGTGAATAAAGGCTGGCTTTCAGTCATTGGCTAGGGCACTAGCCACTAATGTTTATATGTTGGAATATGTTAACTCTACCCCTCCCAACCAGCGTTCCCCTCAGCTCCTCCTCTCCTCTCTCTCTCTGCTCCAGCAAGCCCCGCCCACAAACAGACGCTGCTGCTCGCTCCTATCATTTCAATTAAATTCAAAATATAATGCAGATATATACTTAAGGCAACTACAAATGGAGCCCATTTAACGTTAAAGTAAACAGCATTGGTACTACTGTAGATGCCAACAAACTACCAGCAAACACAATGTGTGCAGGACCCGAGGTAAACAGTTTAGTGGTGCTACGATACGCAGCAGATCCCGTTTGACAAGAAACACTTCTGTTACAGACACTCAGCTTACTTTGTGAAAGCTGTTTACCTGTCCAGCAGAAAGGTTACAGGGTCTGTAAGATCCCAAAGTGTCCCCCATGGTTTATGCTAGCTTCATGGATGTTGACCCGGCTTTTTTAGCTCTTGTCCGAGTGGTCTACCTCCTTTTTAAGCGCCCGTTATTCCACCAGAGTCGCCTATATATTTTTTTTTCTTGCTTGTGTTGGCAGTCGTGGTCAAAGGAGGATTCAGACAATTTCTGTACTTTGTGGTTGGTTTCTACTGTCTGATATTGTAGCACGCTAACTTTGTTTTGGCTCCTGGACGACACGGGGGAGCAGCATCTGCCTCACAACCAATCAGGATGGGGGAGGCGGGAAATGGCTTTGTTTACAGTCAGAAAGAGCGGAGCGCTCAATAATTTAAAATGTTGACTACACAGACATAACAAAACACAGCAATATTGTGATATTACCAAATGTCATCAATGACTAATAGCTATTGACTGATATTAGGAGATTTTTTGTATATATACCACAAAAAAAGATGCTTCTTTAACGGATTCCTGCCTACCCCACCTTTAATATACAAGACGTCTTAACCTTGAGTTCAAAATGATCATGCATCACTATTACAATGTCCTGTACTATTACAATGCTTGTGTACTGCATCACAAACCTCTGCAGTTTGCTCCTGTTTTTCATGTATAACTGTAAGCTGTCAGCATCTCCACTCCTGCTCAGAGCTGCGCTCCATGAGTTTGTGTCTTGCAGTGTTTAATAGCTGGATGGAGAGGGAAAGTCCTCACCTTGTTATTTTGGAGTCGATATATGTCAGATGTGACAGATTTCACAATTTATGTTTTTTTTTTTTTTCCTGGGGTGAGTGAGCATCCTCTCCAAACAATAAACACTTGTGTATGTTGGCATCGTAACTGTGTATTCTGGGTTCACTTAACTTGAAAAAAAATGAATGCAAAGATTATAACTGAGACGCTGACATGGAACGCCAGCCACGGTTTAGATTTTACTGGACAAACACAGCCAGCTAGATTATAGCAACAATTCCTCCACAGCAGCCTTGGGCAGCCCTCTCGAGACACATGTCTCAATATCAAAAAGCAAATAAAAGACCCAGCCCATATTTAAAGGTTTATGGTCATACATTTATCAATGTTTGTGGTTTCACCGTGGAATATTGTTATTGTTTGAGGTAACAGTGCAGCTACTCTTTACCAGGGTCCAATCAGATTGGTAGACCTTGAAACCTGCTTCTTCCGCTGCTTTGGATTCCCGCTGCGTGTCCACGCCTATGGCTTCTATTCCATTGGAGAGATGCTGGAGGCATCAGCTGACCTGGTTGTTATCCAGTGGACCAGGATGGGCTCAGTTCTGGGTCTGAGGGCACAAATGTCAGCCTCCAGAGAGATAGACCCCAGAGACCAGATTTCAAGAAATCCCCTTGGGAAAGGTGGGTTAAGACAGGCGGAAAAAAACCCAATCACTTTCTTATAACACTGATGCATTTACATGTTTTCTGGCACTTTTTAATTTGTCCCTTATTCTTTAATGTGGTTGCTATGGTAATCTTCAAAATACCTTTGTCATTCTTACCAACTGTAGTCCAAGTGAAGCAGAGTCCTCCTAACAAGCCTTTCACTGAGACTGCCCCGGGCTCTGTCAGTAACAACACAACATCTGGCAGCTGTAAGACAGAGATGATGGAGAAGAAGCAGGAAGTGGATCAGGAACTCCGTCAGGAAGGTCATCTCTTTCAGGAATGTGTCATGAAGGTTTGTGTTCATCTGCACTTTAATTTTTCAGCTCAAGACAAGACGTAAGAGACCTGTATCTGTATTCTTGTTGAATATACAACCTACAGACTCCAGGCAGTACATGCCAGCAGATTTTCAAACATTATTAATGGATCGCCCCAATTCATAATCAAGAATCATAGACAAATTTTCTGTACAGTTGATTGATTTTATTTCAATTTGTCTTTGTTCTTTGTTTTGAATTTTGCATCAGCTGGAGAAAGATCTTCACCAGCAAATTTTAGAGAATGGAGTCGCCGGCACCATAAGCCAGGAGCTGAAGGACAAGCTACGAAAGGTCAGACCTCCTGCTAGTTTATACATGAATCTGCGATCGCTGCTAATGACTAGAATGGACATGTTTTGCTTTCATGGTAGGGAATATTTTGGCACAAACGGCAACCAAGAAGGACCGTTATAAGTAATGTGATTTATTCTCTGCGTATGTTCATGATTCCCCGCAGGTTGTCAGACAGAACGGTGGTGGAGTATCAGTGCAAGACCTGCCAGCAGAATACAAGGTACAGAACAAAAAGCTGCACAGTGTTGATCTGCATTTTGTCAGTGCAGTTGAAGGAATAAATAGCTGTAGGGTTAAAAGCCTAAGAAATCAGTCGCTGAACTGGATTCATTTAGTCTTTCCAAGTAGAATTTTAAAAATCACATGCTTTATTGTTGGGGTTTACTCAGTTTAATTAGAGTGACTTTCTCTCTAAGGCTGCACGATATTGGAAAAAACTAACATTGCAATTTTTTTCAACCCTGCGATATATATTGCAATATCAAGAAATACAGGAATTTTCACCGGATGACCTGAATAGCACTTTATGCTGAAATCTTGTAGACAGTTAACCTGCTCTGATCTTACCTCTTTTTGTGAATGTTAGTAGAATGGCTTCTGTCTGTCTCAGAGATGTTTTTAGCTTTTATTGTGCTGGGACGACAGATGAACACAGAACACGTGTTTTGGTCGACATCATCCTTCTTGTAATGAAATCATTTCAGATCACTGACATTCTCTTTCTTTTTGGCAACAAGTTCGTTGTTCGTTGCTAATTTTGCAATTGCAGTTGGTGTTACTAGTGTTGTGCCGAGAAACGCATGTCCTCCGAGAATTGCACGCACGTCGCAAAACGCGCAGCGCTTATCGTAGAGTGGTCCATGGAAATGCACAATTTAAAACCCATACAGTTCTTATTTGTTGGGCTTAACAGTGATGTATATGTTCCGAAAGTGGCTCTCAGCGGACACGCCTTTCTCGGCACAACACCAGCAGCGCCAGCGACTCACTCCATGTGCAGGGGTGGGTTTCCTCCGCTCTGATTTTGATTGACGGCTGGCAGGGTAGTCTGATTGGCAACTTGGTAAAGAATGAATGCGATTGGTGGATCGCTGCACAGCACACGCAGAGTCACATGCAGTGTATCGCTGTCAGCTACCCTTGAAATCAGATGAGTTCATTCGCCTCCTACATCGCAGATTCTACGATGTGACTATCGCGATGACAATGTTCAAACGATATATCATGCAGAACTATTTCTCTCATTAAGCCCACCTTCCCTTAATGATGTCAGAACTCAATCTGTTTTAAGACAAAGCATTGCAACTGCAGAAGAGCAGAGCTCAGCTGTGACGACTGAGTTGTGGTGATGTTAACATGTCTTTCACCTGTGATGTTTTTTTTGCTCCTCAGAGGCTTTTTGGTGAGGACTTGCCGGTGTCCCAGAACAGCTTTGTCAGTGTCACCGAACTGGTCAGTGCCATGAATGACACCTTCCACCTGAAACCCGGAGAAAGTGATAGTGGACAACACTGGATAGTCACGGACATCCAAGACAGCGATGATATACAATTAGGTGCGAATGTGCCTGTGTCTGTGAGTCTCATGTTGTCAGGGATTATCATAGGTCTTGTGCACTGCACAATGGCACGGTGTCAAGCCATGTCTCTTTAGCAGTAAATCTTTACGCTCGTTCTGTGTACACTTGTGAGGGTTGGTGTGTGGGTGGGGGGGTTGGGTTTTATTGTTGTTTTTTGACCCTGTAAGGCACTTGGAATTACAAACATGTACAAAAAGTGCCATATAAATAAAGTTGAATTTGAATTTGCAGCTTTACCTGAAAAAACTTTTATGTGCATGATCATATTTAGATGTTTCATGTAAATAAAAAAAGCTCCTGGAATTTGGTTGGCTCATAATCAGAGGGAAAATCTAGTCGGTAGGATGTCTTGGTGATAACATTCAGGGCAGTAATGGAGGCGTTATTCAGATCTTTAAAAATGTGTTTTCCTCTTTCCATAGAATCAAAAGAGACTGAAAATGATGAAAATGATGTGAAGCAGCCATCCCGGGGTTTTTACTTCAGCTGTAAAAAGTCAGCTTGGGAAGACAGACTGGAGGAGGATACTGGAAACAGCACGATGGATGACAAGGATGAGGAGCAGGAACTCAACAACAATTCTAAGATTTATGAAATGGTGATGGTGGCTTACTTGTGTTTGTAAAAAGAGACTTGATGTGACACCTGTAAACAACTTTCCTCCTTCACTGTTGCATGTGATTTTCTGTAGGTATCTGACAAGTACCCTACCATTCAGGTACATTGCAGCCCTGGAGTTCCTCCGGACGCCATACAGGGTCAAAGTCTCAAACCTCCAACACGCCATGCCTCTAAGGAGTTGATCGAAGTCATGGTGGAACACGTGGAGTCACCAGGGAATTTCTACTTACGCTTTTGCAAGCCTGAGCAAGTTCGTGCTTTGGAGGACATGATTATTGAGATGAGGTGATGGAGATGATAGTGGTGACAGACTTCCTCCCTCCATTTTTCTCCATTGAAAAATATCAAAACAAATCATCCAATGTCACTTTTACCGTTCTCGGTATTATTAGTCAAGATTTCAGCTCTTTTGTGTTTCTTGATGCTGAAAAGTGAAAAGTTTTCCCCCTCCTCTTGTCTCTCTAAGACAATGTTACATGTGTCCTGATGTGTCTGAGCAATACCGCCTTCCAGAGCGATACGTCCGAAGGGGCCAGCTGTGCTGCGTGTCACCCAAAGGAATGTGGTTCTACCGAGTCGTGATACATCAGATCATCAGCCCCACTCAGGTGGAGGTGTACTATGTGGACTATGGTGAAATGAATGTGGAGCAGACTGCAAACCTCAAGTTCCTCAAGTAGGAGCACCACAGCTGTCGACCAAACTGATAATGACCTGTGTTTTTTGGATACCCTCTTAACTCCACCCCTCTCTCTCAGGTCATGTTATTCCATTCTTCCAGCACAAGCTGTACCCGCAACTCTCTGTGGAATAAAACCCATCGCTGTGAGTTTGATCATCACCTCATGACATACTAAAAAAAGGACAAAGCATATGTTTTTTTTGTTTTGTTTTTTATCATCCCTTTGAGCAGCTGCTTACATCTGGCTCTTTTGAAAAGTGAATCAATCCAAACCGTGCTGCTGCAAATGTCACATTGGGATTTGTGAGAATTCAGTGTTTCTGTTTGCCTCTTTTGCAGAGGAGCTGGACTGCTGAGGCCACGGCGTCTTTCAAGAAGCTGTGCTGTGATCGCATCCTAGTGGGCGCTTTGCATAGTTACACTGGAGATGTGCTGCAGCTCTACCTGTGCGACACACGCACGAATGAAGACATCTACGCCCACACTGTCCTGCTCAGCCAGGGTCACGGGACAGCCTGCAGTCCTTCAGTCAGCGCAAGCGTGAGCCACACACAGACTTACTTCTGCTGTGGACATTATATATACTATTTTTTACTGTTTCATTTTTGTTCGATATTTTTGTTTATTCAAGATTACAAAAACAACAAAATAACTGATACAGATCATTGTGAGCCTAATACAGGAACATGATTATAATTATACATGATTATTACATCTCGAAGAGCTTTGTACATTTAATCTGCTGATGATAACATGAAGCTTGAGAAAAATTGATCAAATAAAAAAATTAGTTTCCTCTGACTGGTAAAATATTTTGTGGAAAAGGTGATAGTAAAGCACTGTACCACAGCTTATCTTTGTTGACATTTGATCAGTCCAAACTTTGATTATTTGTGTTTTATAATGCTTCCCTTCTTTACTAGCTTTGTACAGAGGTCAGCCCAGTGAGTCTGTACTTGGGGAAGGAAATGGCCGACCTGCCAGCGGTGGAAGAGGAGGCAGCTTCATCCCAGACGCCTTCAAGCATGTGTCATCAGTCTGTGTCAGCCTCTCCAAAGGTGATTTACACACACACACACATTGATGTTTAACCATATCAACTGGATGTGTATGTTCGATTTTTAGCTTATCAAGAAATCTATCAATATGAACTCTTGGTTTTGTCTCCCTCCCTCTTCTCCTATTTCTTTCTAACTCCTTCATATTTTGCTCCAAAGCTTTAATCCTCCACTGCCCATTGCTCTTATCTTTCCAGCCATACTGTACTGTCAGCACTGCAGGCCCTGCTATACTATGCACAGACATGCACATACTGGAACAAATTTAATGTATAGTCACGCTGCTCTGAAAGTCACAACATGGTGTTGCCAAAAGGGAAAACAGCTGATGAGTGGGCTGTGAAACAAGTGTTTGTATTAAAAGATGGTGTCTCTCTGATGCTTTTTAAAACTGTGCAAACAGGAGAACAATACAGACAGCACAAATAGAGTACTTAACCTTGATTTGATTTATTTATTGAATATTATTTAACATTAAAGGGAAAATAAATATGAGCATATTCTTTAAAACGTGAATGTAGCTGAAAAACAAACAGAAAAGTCAAATGACAAATCAAACAAACTGACTGACCAAAACTCTTACAGTAACACTCAAGTAGATTTTGTAACATGCTCGAGCAGGTTTGACTGAGAATGTGTTCAGTCAGTTTTTTACTTGGTTAGTTATAGACCTGTCACTGTATATGTCATACAATAACAGAAAGGTAACAGAAGCTATGTGGAGTGGTTGTGAATGTAATTTCTGCTTTAAAATAACCTTTAAGCGGTCTAGGTGTGCCCCACATATTAAGGCGGTGCAGACATGAATCCATCCTGTGGCGCTTTTCCTGTGTGTCACTCTCCGCTCCCTCTCCCCAGTTTCCTGCTCTATCCACTATCCTCAGTCTGTCAGTAAAGGTCAAAAAAAGCCCCAAAATAAATTTCTTTGCATGAAACTGACAATGAAATTGAATTGCGGTTGCCGTGTGTTGAACTGCCCCAGGCGCAGTGTGAATGAGTTCAGCTCATTCTGATGGGAGTGTATGAATGTGGGGTAGATAGGTGAGTGTGATGTGTAATTTGAAAATGTTCATAAATCAGAGGGTGATAAGAGATATTTTATTTTGTTTTGTTTTTCAGGTCGAAGAAGAGCTGCCTGCCCTGGAGTTTATTGGAGAGCCTGAGACCAGCCTCCCTACCCAGGTGTGACCACCACCACCTGACACTTGCTCTTCACACATCCACACTACTACTACTAAAGTTTTTAGTTTCTTCATGTTATTTTTATCATTTTAGATTATGTCATGGTTGTTCCACTTTTGATCAAGAGTGCTGATACCATAATTTACCTGCCCTTCCCAAAAACACTGTCTTGGTCCAACTTTCTACAAAACTGTTTGTATCAGAGAGGTTTGAATTCATACTTTAAGTCCAAGTATAGAGTTAGTTTTGACCAAAGACAGATTTGTCGGTGCTGGGCTTGACTGTTGAATACTTCTTAGGTTATCAATTAAAAAGGGTTAGTGATAAGGATGTTTGCTGATAGTGTTGCCTGCACACAAATGTATTTTGCACTCAGTGGGGTTAAAAAATAAAAAAACACCACTTGAGTCCTGCTTGCTGCTGTGTTATGTTCAGGCTACAGATGCCGACCCGTTTGAAACTCCGCTTGATGATGAGACCCTCAGCAGCTGGGAGCTGGGCCTTTTCACGAGATCTCCTCCGAGCAGCAGGCTCACTCCAACCTCCAGTCCTCTCCAACCGCCTGATCCAATCCTAACAGAGACAAGCCCAGCTCACTGTACAGCCCAAGCAAACGTGAGAGGACATAAGAACATTTAGATCATGTATTTACGATGCCTTTCTGTTGCTTTTTTCCACACACTGAGGAACTTTCACTCTGTCTCCAGATGTCAAGAGTGACTCCATCAACAACTCCACCCAGCGTGAACTCCAGCTCTTATCAGACACCAACAAAAGAGGAGCACTCACCCAAAGTTCCCAGCCCCTGGTTTGAGAGACAACCTCTAATCCTGAGGAACTTGAGCCTCCACACTCCCAACCTTAACCCAGGTACATCTCTACATATTCACACGTTTCTTAAGACACTATGGCCGTTTACTCTGAATGATAGCACAAATTTGGATTTAAAGTTAGCAATGTTAGCAGTTTCAACGTGCTAGAGACATGAAACAGGCTGTTTCTTCATATGAAGTTGTTAAAATGAAAACATTTTATCCCATTGCTCTGTTCAATAGATGATAAATCTAAATTTAAGATCTCTCAAAGCTCTCTTAAACAGGAGTCCTAATGTTACAATAAGGCTTGAAGTGCACACTCTGACATTACACATGATTACATAATGACTGTCATTAACCCATGTGTACACAGAGAAAGGGACCCCTTTAATGCAATTAGTCTGTGCGCATGGATACGGGGGGACATATTGATTTCTATCCTGCTGCTTTGGTGGATGAAGCTGCTCTGAGGCGCTGACACAAATTTAATTAGACCTGTTACCAGAGCTATTTGACCCAACGGGCTGCTTTCATTGTATGGCATTTGTGCTGATATTCACACACTGATGCTCCACCATGCTTCTGCTCGCACAGTTCGTTTTTTGTGTGGGAAAAACAGAAGTAAGTGGGTTGAGGCGGATTTATCTTTGCAAGTTATTTCTTGTGAGCTGCAGCGTTACAAAGTGCATTACGCAGATGAACAAACAGATAAAACATGAGGTAGAAACAAAAGCGAGTGCTCAACAGAGATAAGAGGATAGATGCTTGTCCTAAGATCTGGAAATGTGTAAGACTACATGCTGATGATAATTTTTCCCCTCTAAATCTGCACCAAAACTCTCTGAGCTCAGGTTTCTCAGAAATCTGACATTGCAGAAACTTTCCAAAGTAAAACAAAAGAAAATCTACAGATTAAACATTCAAAGCTGGTACTCATCTTTCGTAACAGCTCTGTTTCATCTCTCTTGATGCTACTTTTGCACACTGTAAAGTCATGCAGATACTGTGGCTTTTGCTGTCTTTATGATAAGGGGAAGATTAGAAGTATACTTTGAAACACTGACCTGATAGAGGCACCATTCAGCTCTCTGCAGCTCAGTGTTTTCATTCACACATAAACTTATAAAGCCTTGCAATAATCTTTTATTCATTCAGCCGTATGTATGTGTGTGTGTGTTTTTTTTCTCTCTAGGTGTAAGTATCCCTTCTTTCCATCAGTACTGGAGCCCAGGCATCATGTTTCCTGTGTTTGGTGGGAAAATCCAAACCCCCCCCAAAACTCATTTATAACTTCACTCCTTTATAATGTCCTAACTGAATAAAGTGCCATGTCCCTGCACTATCAGGAAAAAAAGTTGAGGAGGTATTTTGTCAGGTAGCAGAAGAGTTACATATTCAGAAAAGATGCATTAAAGGATTTTATTTTCAGTTGATGTTCATGTCGTTTTAAATCTTCAAAATCTGTTTTTAGGGCCCGAGCGTAGCTGCTAAGCAGCTGCGAGAGCCCTGTTGTTCCTGATGAGTTTTTCTTTGTTTCTTTCTTTCTTTCTTTCTTTCTTTCTTTCTTTAGGGCCCGAGCCAGCTGCAGAGCAGCCGGGCGTAGAGCCCTGTTGTTCCTGTAGTGGTTTTTCTTTGTTTCTTTCTTTCTTTCTTCTTTTTCCTCCCCTTTGAACTGGAAAATGGCCCACTTCCCACTGGCGAAAACTCATGAAATTTGGCAGGACGACCGGGCCTGGTGAAAAATTTGATATTCTGAAGTCGCCCAAACAATAAAATGCAAAATGGCTCCATAGCGCCCCCTAAGGTGTAAATTCACACTATTGACTGTCACGCCTGTACGCTTTGTCATATTGACACAAAAATTGACACACATATGTATCTCAATAAGATCTACAAAAAAGTTAGCGCGGGCGTATTTGTCAAATGTACGGTTAAAGGGTTATTCCGCATTTTTTGCTGATCTGCACACATTGGAATGTGGCTAACTCCTCCTAAGGCTTTCGTTCCACCGGCAACACATTTGCTCAGGCCAATCTACACCCCATGGCCATTAAAAGCTATTCAAATCATGACGCTGCACCCCACGGTTTACGTTCTAGGGGGCACCAAAAATAACCCTAAAATCCACATATTTCAAAGTCTTATAACTTTTTATTTTTGTCCTCACTGGCCTCCAAGTTTTCTAGGATGATGCAATGTCCAGCCATCAACACATCTGTGAAGGAATTTTTACTCCCCAAAAGAGCGCCCCCCCATGGCAGGAGAAAAAAGTCAATTTTTTCTTGTCCCCTAAGGTGTAAATTCACACTATTGACTGTCACGCCTGTACGCTTTGTCATATTGACACAAAAATTGACACACATATGTATCTCAATAAGATCTACAAAAAAGTCAGTGCGGGCGTATTTGTCAAATGTACGGTTAAAGGGTTATTCCGCATTTTTTGCTGATCCGCACACATTGGAATGTGGCTAACTCCTCCTAAGGCTTTCGTTTCACCGGCAACACATTTGCTCAGGCCAATCTACACCCCATGGCCATTAAAAGTTATTCAAATCATGACGCTGCACCCCACGGTTTACGTTCTAGGGGGCGCCAAAGATGACCCAAATATCCACATTTTTTGAAGTCTTATAATTTTTTATTTTTGTCCTGACTGGCCTTTTGTCCCACTGACACCAAATTTGCTCAGGCCAATCTACACCCCATGGCCATTCAAAGTTGTACAAATCATGACGCTGCACCCCACGGACAACCATGAAGCTCCATCCAAACCTGAAGCAGGCAGTTGGTGCATGTGTACAGTACCCTGAGGGGAGTGAGGTGACTGCTTCTGAGGAGAACATGAGCAGTGAAGATTCACCTTGGAGCTAGAACAGAGACGTGCACATGATTATACAGGGGCAGGGGCTCAAGTTTTTTCCTGTCGTTTATACAATATGGAAATTAATGTGAAATTAAAAAACAAAGTATTAATAGAAAGGTACTGACTGTCCTGTGTAGGTGACAGTGATATCCAATAGGCTAGGCACTCACGAGGCTGGCTGTGGCAAGTGTAAGTGAAAGCAACACACACTGGCAGGAAGAACAGCAAACGCAGATGAAGGAAAAGGGTCTTTGCAGTGATGGGCGTTACCAGAGAGGGCGATGGCCAGAGGACGCGAATGGGACGGGGAGGCAGCGCGTTGGGGGGGGCGGCGCGACACGGCTCGGGCCCGCCAGTGCCCCAACGGGGCCCTAGTTTATATTTCAAACTGTATCAAAGCCTCAGCTGATTAAAGGCAGCTTTAAGAAGAAATTAGGTCAAACTTTTTCATCGCTGAAATAGGGCTGCATGCCCAATGCTTAGTCAAGTCCTTTTCCATCCACTTCAGCTGAAAACCAAAATCTATGTGGAGATGGTCAACTTCACGTTGGCCTCATCTGCTTCACACACTCAGCTTCTGCTCTGGACCTTCAGAGGCTGCAAGGCTGAAGAAAGAGGGCATTGTTAAAGCTTTTCTCAATCAGATAACCATCTTTAACATTCAAACAGCTTTTGAAGAGAGCTTTAAGTCATTTTCTGGATATCATATTAATTAGACCGGGTTACGATGATATGTGTTCATGTTGGTCCATTTTTTTGTGGGGCTGTAGGCTCTGAGCTCACAAAGTATTTATTGTTTGTCTTTGTTTAAAAGAGTAAAAATGCCCAGGGCATGTCTAAAAATTCCCTGAAGAGAGGATTCATTACTACATCTGCAGCATGAGAGAAACAGAAACATGTTCTCTCAGTAATCATCAGGACATTGTAATCACTGACCAAAGTCAACAGGAGCTGGAGTAACATAGGTGCAGCAGAGAAACATGTTTGTGCCACATAACAGACTATAAAGTGGAGATAACAGGAGATAGAAGTTGACCTTGATTTGACCTATTGAGCAACAACCATAAATTTCAACATTTTTCTGGGTTAATTGGACTCAAACGGTGGTCTGTTTGTTCGCCGCCCGATAACCAGACTAAAATAAAGATTTAGCGTCACTTCAGGGTCTTTAGCAGCAAGGACACAAGAATGACTTCAGGTTACAGATAATGTGAAGCCACCATCAGACATTTTAAAGTGTCTGGAGCATCAGAGGTTAACCGTTTAATGAAGGGTGAAAACCATCAGAGGAGTCTCAACGATCTAACTGACTGCCATGCTATGTTATCAGCCGATCCTCCAGTCCAGCACAGATGCAGAGACATCGGAGTCTGAAACTTCAAGTTGTGACAGTATAAACTCCATTTATTTGAGTCTGAAAAATTACTTCACCCCAGTTTACAGACCCTTCAATGATAAACTAACAGTATTGTTAAGCTGAGTATAATTGAGGCCCCATCCCTGCTCTGGATTCCAGAAACAAAAACCCAAAAGATTGACGAAAAGTTTTTCTTAGTGAGAGTTGATCGTTTTAAGTCTCTTTTAATTGGCTTTCTGGTAAGTGATAAAGCAGCAAGACACAGCTGATAGTTAACCAAGTGCACATTCAAACTAAACGGATGTCAGACAGACTTTTACATATACTTCTGGTGCTCTTACGCAACAGTTTATACTTGGAAACCACCTTTACAGACTAAAAAAGATAAAGCCGGAGTGTTTGAAGCCCTGAGCAGATAAAGAGAAAACATATAGGTGTGCGCTCCTCAGGCTGCGGCCTTACATGCGAAGTAAAGGGCAAAGATCTACAGTGAAGTCCATATGATGAATCGCACTGACTCTCCAAGCTTGTAAACTTGTGACTGTTGTCATGAGGCTGTCATAAAGCACTTCTTTTTTTGAACTTGTGTTGTTGTAGTTTCTGCTGAATGAAATCTTTGTGTAGCAGCTTTTTGTAACCTATACAGAGCTCTTGTGTACGTATTTTTTTGTCCTACGAGGAACTTTTGATTCCTCAAGCTCGGAAACTTCCACCCTTAAAAAAGACTGTAACCCTTTATGAAAGTGGATCAACACTGAGACGGCAGTCATGGCTGCGAATCAGTGATGTAATCTTGGTATTAAATGATATTCATGATGTCATCCTGTGATAGGGTGTGTTAACTTTGAGGGAAACTTTGAACTCAGATCTGACACGAGGTCTGTTTTGATTCCTGGGCTTGTTCTGGGACTTCCGCGCCTCTCATACACTGTAACACCATAATCTCTGTTTGGTGAACAGTTATTCTGCTGGAGTCAATGTGGCATGAAGTTGTTCTGAGATTTTTTCCCCTGACCAATGGCATGCTTCTGTTCATCCCACAGAATTTCCTCTCTGGCTTAGATGTCCTTTCTGCAGCTCAGACAGGCCCGTACAGGAAAGCTGCGACAAAAAACCATGGGGTTTACTCTGTAGCTCTGCTCGCCTGTTTCAACTGACCTTGGCCAGACTTTTGGGGGGAAATTCAAACTTTAAGGAATGTGCCTTAATGAGCATCTATTTCTTATTTATTTTACATTGTATGACTCACATTTCTCTTTTATTCCCATTAAGCATGAGCATAGACTGTATATAGAATGGACACCATCTGCCTCCTCGCTTGGTAAAGCCACCCCGAGAACAGCACCCTCTGGTGACAGGCTGCAGTATAGGTCGTAAATCCTGCCTCCTCCAGCAATCCCTATGGAGCTGTGGACAAACTTTAGAAATTTATTACGCAAAATATATATATTTTTTCCCCCCTGGTTGCGATGTTGACATGTAGTTATTGAAAGACTGGTTAGTGCTCAAGTCCTCTTTTTTCTGTGCAGCTCCATTTTTTAAAGTAATTGGGGGTTCATGTTTTCTATGATTGATACTTGATACAGCCTATGGGCATACGATGATTGCATAGCTCACCCAGGGGATAAGCTGTTTGAGCCAAACGTCATCACAGCGACTCTCAGTGACTCTCCCACCAAATGCATCCAATGCTTCTGCGCAAGTGGTGGTTCCAGGAAGTGGAAAAAAACCCAGAAAAACTGAGAGCAATCCAGCTCCAAATTCATATAATGACGAAAGGCAGAACCAAGTTGTCCATAGTATATACAGTCTACAAGCATGAGCTACAACCAGGCATTTCTGCAGAGAAAGTTTTTAAGAAAATTTTAAGAGCTCCCTCTGGTGGCAGGCTGCAGTAAAGGTAAAGCCCACCTCTCTCATTCAAGCAGATGGGACGTAGAAAAATCTAAATATGGCTCAAATAAGTGTTAATTATGTGAGTTTTATATGAGTGGTTGTGGCGCCATGATTGACTCCTTTAAATAAAATTGTGTGATAGTGATGAAGCAGTTTTTCTGTTGTCCTTATAAACAAACATGGAAATCCTTTTAAAAAGCCTGATTGTCACCCTGACAAAAAAGGGACATTTTTAGCCTCCAGGAACACACACAACCCCACCCTCCCCTTCAATTTACAACTGTGTTTCAGGCTTATTTACTCACAGCTGATTGATCTTAAATTGTAAAATTAGTGGTGTAGCTCCTGTTGC